GAGGAAGAAGAGGAGGACGAGCTGCAGAGACAGGAAGTGGAGAGGAAGAAGAGGAGGATGCTGAATTTAAAGTGTGTTTAAAACATACACAGGTTACAGAGTTTTTCAAAATAAAAGTCATTGCAATGTGCACAAATATGGAAAAAACAACTGCACATTTGGCTGTTTTAAAAGCATGCTGTAGATCAATGTGACACCGTGAACGTTTACTGTCAACAACAACATTTATTAAAGTCAGATATCGTACATTTATTATAATCTCATTCTCAAAAGTAAACATTTCTGAGTGTCATTGGTTCATCACAGACGCCATGAGCGGCCACTTTTAAACCATTCATTTCCCTTATTTCTCAGGATGTGTTAGTGTGTGTGTGCGTGCGTGTGCCTGTGTGTGTGCCTGTGTGTGTGTGCATGTGTGCATGAATGTGTGTGTTAGTGTGTGTGTGTGCGTGTTTGCATGTGTGTGTGTGCATGTGTGTGTGTGCGTGCGTGTGTGTGTGCGCGTGTGTATCTGTGTGTGTTCTCAGGATAATGATAATCGTTCAGTTTATTATCTTGTAAGAAGTGTCGTCAGGGAAACACTTGTTATTAGAGATTATGTCATAAATGACATGAGATTTTGATCAAAACAAATACAAAAACCTTGTTTTCATGGAAAAAATAGGTCATCAAATGTTTTAATTTTGGCCATTCAGGGCTTCTGTAATCCATACCTGAGTATTGATTCAGGGCTTCTGTAATCCATACCTGAGTATTGATTCAGGGCTTCTGTAATCCATACCTGAGTATTGATTCAGAGTTTCTGTAATCCGTACCTGAGTATTGATTCAGGGCTTCTGTAATCCATACCTGAGTATTGATTCAGGGCTTCTGTAATCCGTACCTGAGTATTGATTCAGGGCTTCTGTAATCCATACCTGAGTATTGATTCAGGGCTTCTGTAATCCATACCTGAGTATTGATTCAGGGCTTCTGTAATCCATACCTGAGTATTGATTCAGGGCTTCTGTAATCCATACCTGAGTATTGATTCAGGGCTTCTGTAATCCATACCTGAGTATTGATTCAGGGCTTCTGTAATCCATACCTGAGTATTGATTCAGGGCTTCTGTAATCCATACCTGAGTATTGATTCAGGGCTTCTGTAATCCATACCTGAGTATTGATTCAGGGCTTCTGTAATCCATACCTGAGTATTGATTCAGGGCTTCTGTAATCCATACCTGAGTATTGATTCAGGGCTTCTGTAATCCATACCTGAGTATTGATTCAGGGCTTCTGTAATCCATACCTGAGTATTGATTCAGGGCTTCTGTAATCCATACCTGAGTATTGATTCAGGGCTTCTGTAATCCATACCTGAGTATTGATTCAGGGCTTCTGTAATCCATACCTGAGTATTGATTCAGGGCTTCTGTAATCCATACCTGAGTATTGATTCAGGGCTTCTGTAATCCATACCTGAGTATTGATTCAAGGCTTCTGTAATCCATACCTGAGTATTGATTCAGGGCTTCTGTAATCCGTACCTGAGTATTGATTCAGGGCTTCTGTAATCCATACCTGAGTATTGATTCAGGGCTTCTGTAATCCGTACCTGAGTATTGATTCAGGGCTTCTGTAATCCGTACCTGAGTATTGATTCAGGGCTTCTGTAATCCGTACCTGAGTATTGATTCAGGGCTTCTGTAATCCGTACCTGAGTATTGATTCAGGGCTTCTGTAATCCGTACCTGAGTATTGATTCAGGGCTTTTGTAATCCGTACCTGAGTATTGATTCAGGGCTTCTGTAATCCGTACCTGAGTATTGATTCAGGGCTTCTGTAATCCGTACCTGAGTATTGATTCAGAAAGTAAATAAAAATCCAAATAAAATGAGAAATTAACAACAAAAACAACCCATGATCGTCAGGTGATTGCATATTATATACACCAACAGTATTGCAGTAATAAAGGCATTCATACATTAAGGCACTTGGTAGGAGTATTTTCAAAATAAAATGACACCAGAATAAAAATTGAGATACAAAAAAAAAAGAATCTTGTATGAATATTTTCAAAATAAAATACCACCGTGATCAAAATAGAGATAGTCTTGTAGGAATATTTTCAAAATAAAATGCAACTGGAATAAAAAACGAGATAATCTTGTATGAATATTTTCAGAATAAAATGCCACTGGAATAAAAATAGAGCTTTTTGAGAACACCATTTTTGGAAGACATTCAAATCTGAGCTGTTTCTCTATTGTATCGTGAAAAATGCTCACATGACCAATTTCCAGCTAATTTCTTTCAAAGTCTGTTTCATTAATATCTATTTAGAGGAGATCGGTACAAAAGGAGAGGATTTCATGATCCAGGACTATTTGGGATATTATTGTGTCTAAGGGTTAGGATTAGGGTTAACAGTAGGTATATAGGGTTAGGGTTAGGGTTAACAGTAGGTATATATGATTAGGGTTAACAGTAGGTATATAGGGTTAGGGTTAGGGTTAACAGTAGGGTTAGGGTTAACAGTAGGTATATAGGGTTAGGGTTAACAGTAGGTATATAGGGTTAGGGTTAACAGTAGGTATATAGGGTTAGGGTTAACAGTAGGTATATAGGGTTAGGGTTAACAGTAGGTATATAGGGTTAGGGTTAGGGTTAACAGTAGGTATATACAGTCTAGTTATGGGGAGATCTTTGGCACCAGAACATGGTCTCTGATGGTCTCTGATAGTTTCTAATGGATCTCTGCTCTCCCCTGATGATCCCTAATCATCTCTGGTATGAAAAATAGTCGTTTCGGAGCTCATATGTATGGAAACGTGTCCTTGTCCACCTCACACTTCTTCAGCAGCCCCGATGCGATGGCCTTGACGGCTCTCAGCGTCTCTGTGCAGGTGGGGCTGATCAAAGACTCCGGCAGCAGGAAGCCGTAGTATCCTGTGTCCCGAAGCTCGAAGGCGAAGGCGTACGAGATCCCGTTCCTGTAGGCCCAGTCGATGGAGCTGCCAGAACTCACATCTGTGGGAGAAACACAGAGAAATACAAGATCAGGACTGTAGTTTGGTTTATAAAAATGTCTCACTGAATCCAGAAATGTAAGTTATATTTCACCACAAAAGGATGATTTATATATGCATTTCTCAACCACAAACTAGCCCTTCTCCCTACTTCCCAACACTCAGGAGGATCAGTTGAACTTCACCATTAAAGTATTATCGTATCGTATAATAGGTACACGTCATGTGTTCAGGGGTAAATTGGTGATGCATGTATGTTAAACTGGCCCTTCTCCCTTCTTCACTGCATGCACAATGATCTGTGGTCCTTCCTGGTGGTGCAACATGACACCCTAACTTTGTGATGTATAAAGTACTTTACTCACAGAGGGTGGTGGAGGCGGGGCCGTACCGATACCGGACTCCGTACGCAGAGTAGAGAGCGCTGACTGCACTGTGAGCCGCTGATTCCTGCACACAGAGCAGAACATAAATCATTACAAGCTTTAAATCTGTATTTCGGCACAGTAGTAAACCCAACACATAGCCGTGCAGCCAATTGAGATGAAAGTCTTTGTAATAAAGGTTAGTTTACAGGTAACAAGGTCCTATAAGAGGCTTATTGACATTATTATACATCAACAAGATGATAAACAATGTACATTAATGTAAAAGATATGCTGTAAAAGTATTAATAATTGTGCTATTAGGCCAGTTTTAGCCTGTTTAGTATACAACCTTTTATTTGTGTCTGCATGCAGCTGCTATTTGTGCTTCATTGATAAAATATTGTATTTATAAGTACATCTTTAATCATACTATATCAACCTTGTAGTTCTCCTTTGAGATGTGCATCTGCAGAAAGCATAGCTAACTGTTGCATTCAAAACAAAGTGCACAGGTAACAAGGTCCTATGAGAGGCATATTGACATTATTATGCACTAACAGGACTATATACTCATTTCATTGAATGTTGAAATATACTGTAATTGTACTAATAATGGCATTAGGCCAGTTTACTAAAGAAGCCTTTATATTCAGTGAAACCCAGCTGCTATTTATGTGTTTTATAAAGTGTGTTTTTGTGCTTAATTGATCAAACATTGTGTATCTAAGTAAGTCTTTCATCATACTATATACATAGCTAACTGTTGCATTCAAACAATCATTATGTCATCTTTATAAAGCAGCAGAATAACTTAGAAAAGGTTGCACAATGACACAAGTACTAACAAAGGCGTTTATTCATTGCTATGTTTTTAACAGGATTATGAACACAAACTGCTCACGCCCGTCTCACAAAGACGTGTAAGGGCCTTTGCACCTCGTTTTTAACACTTATAGCACTTTATCATTAAACTCTTGCAGATAATGTTTCTTCTTCCTCACCACGCAGCTGAAGTTGGGTATAGTTGCGTACTTGTATGAGTACGGGTAGAGCAGCATCTGAGCGTAGGCGTGGATTGAGATGTACGCTTTCACCCTCTTCCTGTTCTTCCTCAGGAACTTTGCCACGGCTTTCACCTCGGGCTCAGACTCAGGGAAGGGTCCGCAGTACGTGTCGTCACACGGGTGAGAAGAGGCTCCTTCCTCTGGGGGGAGATACAAGGCAACAGCAGCTTTCAACACAAGGCAATTCACAGATAACACATTAAGAGCATTGAGACATGTGTGTTAGTGAGGACACTGAAGGATCTGCAGCTTTCTAATAGAATAGACTGCTATCAGATCCCTGTCATCATTCAGCATTTTCATCTCACTTTCAGCTGCTCTTGTTATTGATGAAACTGATCTAGCTGTCTCTCAAACTGTAACGATTTGATGTGTTACTCCATGAATTGAACAGACTCTACGTGGTTTGTCATGCTTTGCTTTCTGTTATTTTGTTCATGTCTGTCTGTGAGACGTTGCTTTTGTCGGCATCTCAAGGGCTTTATCCTAAAACATACATTTCTATTAGAACAGACAGTGTGAATAACTCCACCTGCAGTAAATGCTCAGATCTCCTGTGCAGCTGAGGGTCATTGAACTCACCGCACCACTTCACCTTCCAGTTCCTGTTGGCGTCCGTTCCTCTGCAGTGGAACTTGTGGTTCTTAGACCGGGTTTTCCTCCAGAACCGATCCTGAAGGAAACACAGGAAGTGAAGGTCTTGTTCAATAAGTGGAGCTTCCTGTCGACTCAACTGATGTTAGAGAGGCGTTAGTGTGTACAGAGCTGCGTCAGGACCAGAGATGGGGTCGTTACTAAAAAAAAGTAATATATTACATATTACATATTACTTTAAAAAAAAGTAATATATTACACTACTTCGTTACTCTCTACATAAAGTAACTCGTTACTTTACTCGCAGGGCCGGCCCGCCCCTCCCTGCAGGCAGATCACGCAGACTGCTAAAGTTTCAAATGTTCTCTAGTTCAGTTTCCATTGTCGCATAAGACTGATCCAGATCCTGAATGTTCTCCTATCTGACCGTGGCTGTCCTCTGTCTCCTGATATCTGTATATGTTGCGCAGTCTATCTCTGCTCACGCTGTTGCGTCGGCGTGTTCTCCTGCGTGTTGGCCATGTGTTGCACTGGAGCCAGACACCGCAAAGACTTCAGCCGAGCACGTACGAACTGCGCATGCGTGAGTGGCAATAACTCTCCTTACCAGCAGGCGGCAGTAGTGTGTATTCGTCATTCAAAACAGGCAACAACCGGAAAACAGAGAATAAGAACAGACTACGTGATATAAACAACAAATAGCTGTGCGTTAGCTTCACCTTAGCATCTGTTCTTTGCAGGTGTTTGTTGAGGTGTGATTATGACTGATTTTAGTAAGTAACGAAGTAACGCGTGTCGGGGCAATGTTAGTAACTGTAGTGTGATTACTGAATTATAAAAGTAGCGCGTTACACTATTCCGTTACCGACAAAAGTAATATTATTGCAGTAACGCGTTACACCCAACTCTGGTCATGACAAACAGCACATTGTGTTTTTATTACTGTATACACTCTGATCCAATTGGTCACAAAATATTAAATACGATACCACATTTATTTTTTTAAATCAGGTGAAGGAACCTGTTGCCGGGTAAGCACTTCTACTTCCATCATAATGGTAATATTGAATTCATTATAATTTGAAAGCAGGATAATAACTCCTATGAATAAAGTAGACAAAGTGCAGAGTGAGTGGACCTACAGTGAGCTGACATAATGCTGTTAACATGTATTCAGGCCCTACAGTACCGTGGTCCAGCTGAAGTGATACCCGTCCACGTTGAACACTGGCATGATGTAGAAGCTGAGCTGGTTCAGGAGACGCCGCGTCACGGAGTCGTACTGGTACGAGTTTATGGCCTGAAATTAATATAACAAACATTAAGTATTAGTACAGAGTACATTAGTCATGCGTGATTTGTCCCAGGGTTCCTTGAACGCACCACCTCAAAGTGCTCTTTAATGAGACTCAAGTTAATGAGCTTTAACTAAAACAAAGAGGACCTCCAGTGGCGGACCGGAGTTACTGCATCTTGCAAATTGTTCTAATTTCTTTGATTTTTATTTCAGATTTCATGCTGGTTTTTTTTCTTTTCCCTCTTGTATTCACTCACTCCCTCCTCCTACTTGAATCCTTCTTTAAAAAAGTCCTTCCTTAATAAAGTCCAAATATATATCACTTTGTTGTTTTAGTTGTTGGAGGCCATTTAAAGAAGCGTGTGCAGACAGAATAATGGGCGTCATTCATCCATCCATCCATCCATCTTCTCCCGCTTATCCGTGGTCGGGTCGCGGGGGTAGCAGTTCCAGCAGAGAGCCCCAAACTTTCTTTTCCCTGGCGACATCAACCAGCTCTGACTGGGGGATCCCAAGGCGCTCCCAGGCCAGCGAAGAGATATAATCCCTCCACCTGGTCCTAGGTCTACCCCTTGGTCTCTTCCCAGCTGGACGTGCCTGGAACACCTCCCTAGGGAGGCGCCCAGGTGGCATCCTAACTAGGTGCCCGAACCACCTCAACTGGCTCCTTTCGACGCGAAGGAGGAGCGGCTCAACTCCGAGTCCCTCCCTGATGACCGAACTTCTCACCTTATCCCTAAGGGAGACACCAGCCACCCTGCGGAGAAAACCCATCTCGGCCGCTTGTATCCGCGATCTCGTTCTTTCGGTCATGACCCATCCTTCATGACCATAGGTGAGGGTAGGAACGAAAATGGCCCGGAAGACAGAGAGCTTTGCCTTCTGGCTCAGCTCCCTTTTCGTCACAACGGTGCGGTAAAGCGACTGCAGTACCGCTCCCGCTGCTCCGATTCTCCGGCCCATCTCACGCTCCATTGTTCCCTCACTCGAGAACAAGACCCCGAGATACTTGAACTCCTTCACTTGGGGTAAGAACTCATTCCCTACTTGGAGTGGACAGTCCATCGGTTTCCTGCTGAGAACCATGGCCTCAGATTTGGAGGTGCTGATCCTCATCCCAGCCGCTTCACACTCGGTTGCGAACCGATCCAGTGAGTGCTGAAGGTCGCAGACCGATGAAGCCATTAGAACCACATCATCTGCAAAAAGCAGTGGTGCAATCCTTAGTCTACCGAACTGCAGACCCCCTCCCCCATGACTACGCCTCGAAATCCGATCCATGTATATTACAAACAGGATTGGTGACAAAGCGCAGCCCTGGCGGAGGCCAACCCTCACCGGAAATGGGTCCGACTTACTGCCGAGGACCCGGACACATGTCTCGCTTTGGGAGTACAGAGATTGGATGGCCCTGAGTAGAGACCCCCTCACCCCATACTCCCGCAGCACCTCCCACAGTAACTCCCTGGGAACTCGGTCATACGCCTTCTCCAAGTCTACAAAACACATGTAGACCGGATAAGCGTACTCCCAGGCCCCCTCCAGGATCCTTGCGAGAGTAAAAAGCTGATCCGTCGTTCCACGACCAGGACGGAATCCGCATTGTTCCTCCTCAATCTGAGGTTCGACAATCGGCCTGACCCTCCTTTCGAGTACCTTAGAGTAAACTTTCCCGGGGAGGCTGAGTAGTGTGATGCCTCTGTAATTGGCAAACACCCTCTGATCCCCCTTTTTAAAAAGGGGAACCACCACCCCGGTCTGCCACTCCTTCGGTACTGTTTCCGACTTCCACGCAACGTTGATGAGACGTGTCAACCATGACAGTCCCTCAACACCCAGAGCCTTCAGCATTTCCGGGCGGATCTCATCCACCCCCGGGGCTTTGCCACTGTGGAGTTGTTTGACGACCTCAGTGACCTCCCCCCGGGAGATTGGTGTTGATCCCCCGTCATACTCCAGCTCTGCCTCTAACATAGAGGGCGGAGTTGTCGGGTTCAGGAGTTCCTCAAAGTGTTCCTTCCAACGCCCTAACACTCCATCAGTTTAGGTCAACAACGTCCCATCCTTACTGTACACAGCTTGGATGGTTCCCTGCTTCCCCCTCCTGAGGTGTCGGACAGTTTTCCAGAACAACTTTGGTGCCGCCCGAAAGTCCTTCTCAATGTCTTCTCCGAACTTCTCCCACACCCGCTGCTTTGCCTCGGCCACGGATGAGGCTGCTGCCCTTCGGGCCTGTCGGTACCTTGCAACTGCCTCGGGAGTCCCCCGGGATAACAAATCCCTGAAGGCCTCCTTCTTCAGTCGAACGGCTTCCCTGACCACCGGTGTCCACCAGGAGGTTCGAGGGTTACCGCCCTTTGAGGCACCTAGGACCTTGAGACCACAGCTCCCCGCCGCGGCTTCGGCAATAGAGGCTTTGAACACCGACCACTCTGGTTCAATGTCCCCAACCTCCACAGGAATGCCCGAAAAGCTCCGCCGGAGGTGTGAGTTGAAGGCCTCCTGAACTTGGGCCTCCTCCAGACGTTCCCAGTTCACCCAAACTACACGTTTGGGCTTACCAGGTCTATCCAGAGGCTTCCCCCGCCACTCGACCCAACTCACCACCAGATGGTGATCAGTTGACAACTCCGCCCCTCTCTTTACCCGAGTGTCCAAAACATACGGCCTCAGGTCCGATGATACGATAACGAAATCGATCATGGACCTTCTGCCTAGGGTGCTCTGGTACCACGTACACTTATGAGCATCCTTATGTTCGAACATGGTGTTTGTTATGGCCAATCCATGACTAGCACAGAAGTCCAGTAACAAACCACCACTCCGGTTCAGATCAGGGGGGGCCGTTCCTCCCAATCACGCCCCTCCAAGTGTCTCCATCATTGCCCACATGTGCGTTGAAGTCTCCCAGCAAGATTAAAGAGTCCCCTTCAGGAGCCCCATACAGGACTCTTTCCAGGGTCTCCAAGAAGGCCGTATACTCTGAACTGCTGTTGGGTGCATAAGCACACACAACAGTCAGAGTTTTCCCCCCCATAACCCGCAGGCGTAGGGAGGCGACCCTCTCGTCCACTGGGGTAAACTCCAACAACGAAGCACCTAACCGGGGACTTGTGAGTATCCCCACACCCGCCCGGCGCCTCACACCTTGAGCAACTCCGGAGAAGAATAGAGTCCAACCCCTATCCAGAAGTAAGGTTCCAGAGCCGACGCTGTGCGTAGAGGTGAGCCCAACCAGATCCAACTGGTAACGCTCCACCTCCCGCACAAGCTCCGGCTCCTTCCCCCCCAGAGAGGTGACGTTCCACGTCCCCAAAGCCAGCTTCTGTCGCCCGGGTCTGGTCCGTCGAGACCCTCCGCTTTCACTGCCACCCTTCTGGCAGCGCACCCGACCCCATCGATGTTTCCCGTAGGTGGTGGGCCCGCGGGACGGAGAAGCAACATGCTAAATAAAAGTAGTTTATCATTAGCATAGATAGCTCCGCTTAACCTCTCTCTCTATACAGTATATTTATATTTATATAAGGGCAGCTGCGGTGTGAAAATACTCTGGCACACGCCCAACAACTGTAAAGAAGCCAGTGTGTGTGAAGAAGTTCAGCAGGAGGAACATGGAGGAACTTGGAAGTAGACGTGATGTTCCAGAGAGTCGGTAACTGGGGCAATGGGATTGTTTCAAATGCATTTATTATAATAAATCTAAAACATATAATATTCTAAATGTCCTTTTATAATTTTCATGCATTTCTTTAAAGTTCCTAATATTTAAAATGTGTGTTTCCTTCCTGTTTGTGGGCTGGAGAAATGTTGTTAAAAGAGCTCTCGTTACATTTTCAACTACCTGATAGTGGAGCAAAAACAAGGTGAATCCCAGACGTGAATTAGTACAAAATAATAACATAAAAGTCGTACAAATAGAAAGAAGAGGAGATTTGTTCGTGCAGCGCCTCCTGCATCAAACCCATACCCTAACCCTGCATCAAACCCATACCCTAACCCTAACCCTGCATCAAACCCTAACCCTAACCCTGCATCAAACCCATACCCTAACCCTAACCCTGCATCAAACCCATTGTTGTGTAAATGGTACAGTCCAGTCGACCTCAGCTTTATGCACAAGTCATATGGTTTTTAAATGTTCCTTAGCCTAAGTGTGAATCTCCAAGAATCATCAGAAGAATTCCTTAAAGACACGCTCGGACTTTCCTTTAATGATCCTAACATTGTTTATAACCCCTCACATCTGGAGTTTAAACGAATGAAAGCAGGTTTTTGCAATAAGAAATACTTTGTTAACCATTGTGTTAACAGTTGGTTATTGTTCTGTCTTTAATTCATTTATCTGCAACATTTGGATCAAAATGGACCTAAAAACATTCTTCTGATTCCACACACACACACACACACACACACACACACACACACACGTCACACACTCACACGTCACACACACGTCACACACACACGTCACACACACACACACACACATGTCACACACACACATACACACACACACATACCATGTATACATCACTTCAGGGGACATTACATTGACTTACATGCATTTCCTGGAGACTTATCCTAATCTTAACCATAACCAACACATGCCTAACCCTAACCCTAACCCTAACCCTAACCAACACATGCCTAACCCTAATCCTAAACCTAACCAAGTCTTCACACTAAAATTAATGATCCCCCTTATGGGGACCTCCAATTTGTCCCCATAAGGGAAGCCAGTCCCCACACGTGACTGTGTAAACAGATTTAGGTCCCCACAAGTATAGTAATGCTAGACCACACACACACACACACACGTCACTCACACACGTCACACACACTCTCACACACACACACACACACACACACACACACACACACACACACACACACACACACACACACACACACACACACACACACACACACACACACACACACACACACACACACACACACACACACACTGCTGCATGCTGTCCTTCAGAGTGTGTGTGTTATAGTACAGTATACACAGAGAGTGTGTGTTAGAGCCACAAAGTTATTATTTCGATTCATAATTTGATAAATGATTTAATGATGGAAAATGATTTGTGTTGCCATGGTGAATATGTTTTGAGGAAATGATTGTTAATTTTCTATCGTAAATATGATCTGTTTCCTTGTACCTTCCGGTGTGTATTTAAGTGAGGTAATTGAGGACAGCCGGCGTGCTCGGAGACCTGATGAGACGGGGAGCGGAACAGTTTTTCGACTGCAAATTGCAGACAGAGATTGGTGTTGCAAATTGGACTGCAAGCAAAGGATAGTTTAGTTTATATAGGAAAGCATATCGCTGAAATACTGTTTAAAGATTTGTTATTTTGAGACTATTTAAGTCAATACTTTTTTGTTAATAAATTACATTTTTTTGGACTGAAAACCTTCGGCTGCTTATTGTTTTGGATTGCGTGTCGTCAACCCCGCTCTATAGTGGCAAGAGGAAACCCTTGATGCCATTACAGTGTGTGTTATAGTCAGGGGTGCACATAACCTTTTTTCCCTGGTTCTCAAAGGAGCACCTGGAGATGTTGCTTGGTGCTCATCCTTAAAATGAAATAAACCGTAACTTTTGAGGGGTCTTGACTTTATTTGCCAGACACACGGCACTGAACACACATGCAGAGGTGAACACAAGACAACATTAGCACGACCAGTAATCCTACAAGCTGTCATCACTACCCTCCTGACTGTTCTCCTCTCTGTCTTCCTCTCTGTCAGACATGGTAGCTGATGATGTAGGCCTACTTCTTCCTCTCTGGTTGAGTCTGCGATTAGCTGCTTGCATCCACAAGTCAACAGCTGGGTTTGGGTCGAAAGTCTCTGTTGTCATCTTAGACAAGTGGATGTAATCAAATAAGTATGTGAACATAACCAATAACCTACCATAGCCAATAACAAATTAATGTAACTTATTTTATTTATGTTGTTCATTCATATCTTATTTTACCTTAACATTTATTTATTTATGCATTTTTTTGTATCTCTCCAGTTTTAAAGGATATTTTTGGTTACTGTCCTATAGTATACATTGGAATGATTTAAAACCTGTTCATCCCAATAATTACAAAGG